TCAGCCGAATGGGTTTTCAGCTTACATCGCCACACAAACACGTCTCCCACCTCTGGCTGTGTAAAACATGCCATAACCATGTGTTTACATCCAACGTCACTACATTTGTTACAAACTAGCCATCACCTGTACCATCTCAATGTCACAAACTACTGAATGTCGCTCAAGAACTTATCAAATGATCAACTTGCCTTATTTGCAACATCCAGAGCATCGTAATCTGATGCTAGCCGCACATAAGCTTTCTTCTCCCCATCAGGTCTGAAAATATAACACAAAACTATCACATCTGTTTCACAAACAGGTGACATCAAACCTACATGATTTTATACAACACTGATGTCAGCAAATTTGTGCTGGTGGTAAGAAATATATTGTCCTTGAATTGAAGGCTCAACCTTTCCAAAGATCCTTTCAATACTTTCTACACATAGGCAGTAACAATAAGCCCAACCAAATATAAGTGCTATCTATGCCAATATGTACAGAATATGACACATATACCCTTGAGTTTCAGGCCAACTGGTGTGCCAATATGGTGAGGTGAGGTGAAATTGATTTAACGTGCTTGAGAATATTTCGCTCATATGACTACGTGCATGCGTGTGTATGTGTATGTGCGTCTGCTTGTACTAGCTAAGACTTAAGCTGGTTTTATAGTGCTAGCCCACTAAGATACCATCCCACAGTGAAGCATGAATACCCCACTCAGACACATTATACTGGCTCTGAGCCGACCAGTCCTTCGTGTACCCATTAATGCCGAACGCCAGACAGGGATCAACAAGTACCATATTTCAACTTCTTTTGGTATGATGTGGTCGGTGATCGAACCCGCGACCTTCCGCTCTAACCACTACACCACGGAGGCGGTCTGTGCCAATATGGCCAAACAACTTCAACATAATGCAAAAAGACGTTTCAGTTACTTTACCACTAATAACAGACTAAAAGCGAACAGACTATGACAAAATCACACAGAGAACAAACATAAATCCTTTACTTCTTCTATGCACGGTGAATTCTGACTTCATTTGTAGTAGCGAGTGAATAATAGTTAAAGCTGTGTAAGCAGATTACCAGTCATGTCACATCTGGCTTTCAGTGAATAAAAGAATGAGCGGCATCTACCCTATCAAGGTGTGTGTGTGTCCTAATCAGTGTTCGAAATTAACTTCGGTCCTTAAGCCAAAAGCCGTCTGAAAACCACTCGGACCCACAACTTTTGTTTTCTGCAGGTCCTTATGGCCGACAGTTTTTTCATCCCCAATAACTAGAGCATTATTTCCATATTAAAATATAGGGCCTACACATTCAGATCAGGACCCTGACATTCAGATCAGGACCCAACTTCTATGGGTCTGGGTCCTCAGGGCCTGCAGCTTTTCGGGGTTAAGGGCAAACACTGGTCCTGATCAGTATTTTAGTCCTAATGAATGACAAGCATGGGTTTCTGGGGATCTATTCCGACCCTGAATTCCTTTACTTCTCACTCTGCAGCACACAGCACCAAAACGTACCTGACCAAAGTGTTTACTTTAGCGACTTCAATATCATACAGCTTCTTGACGGAGCTCTTGATTAGGGGTTTGTTGGCTCGCTTGTCCACAATAAACACCAAAGTGTTGTTGTCTTCAATCTTCTTCATGGCAGACTCAGTGGTCAGGGGGAACTTGACAATCTTGTATCTGTCCAACCTGAAACACAATCATCACAAGGAAATAAGTGAAAACATTTTGTTTAAACCTGTGTCCCAGCATACATACACCCATTAAAATCCTTGGGAACAACTGGGCTGAATACAACATTTACAAGCTTACAAATATGATTCACATGAAGACATCGATCAAGCAGACACTACATAATAGTTGTGATGTGCACACAAACTCTCCCAGTAAATGGTTGTGATGTGCACACAAACTCTCCCAGTAAATGGTTGTGATGTGCACACAAACTCTCCCAGTAAATGGTTGTGATGTGCACACAAACTCTCCCAGTAAATGGTTGTGATGTGCACACAAACTCTCCCAGTAAATGGTTGTGATGTGCACACAAACTCTCCCAGTAAATGGTTGTGATGTGCACAAACTCTCCCAGTAAATGGTTGTGATGTGCTCTCCCAGTAAATGGTTGTGATGTGCACACAAACTCTCCCAGTAAATGGTTGTGATGTGCACACAAACTCTCCCAGTAAATGGTTGTGATGTGCACACAAACTCTCCCAGTAAATGGTTGTGAAGCTGCAATCAAACAGTGTAACCAACATTATAACACTCAAACATGATGAATGAACAATGACACTGAATCCAGAATAGTTGAGAAATGTTAATATCTTAACAGTGTATGAAATAAGGCCCGTCCGACCCGCCCGCGATGGTCTAGATTTCTGACGGATGGTTTAAAGTTACAGTCAGCCAGCCCAATGGTCTGGTATTTTTTTAGATGTTACATACATCTGAGTAAATTCACCATATTTGGTCTGGTTTAATCAATTTTGGGCTGGTAACATTTTGAAATTACCAGCCCTGATGTCTTGCTGGATTTTTTACTTATTTCATACACTAATCTTTATCAGTATATGAACAAAAGAAATGTCTATTATGTGAATTACCTGTCCCTTCGTGCAACACTTTTACGGGGATATCTGGGAGCTCTGGGCAACTTTATGGTCTTAGGCCTCCTGAATTTGACGGAAGTCCTTGTTTTCCTGTTCCTTTTATCATGGACACCACGTAGGACGGCTTTCTTTGCCTTCAGGGCCTTGTCCTTGGCACTTTTAGGTGGTGCTGCTGCTGCCTTTTTGGCAGGTTCAGCTTTGGGTTTGTCAGCCTCTGAAGTAATAATCCAACATAATAAATTTCTAGAATTAGTTTTTCTTTTCTTTAACATTGACTTTATAACAAACATTTGTCACAGTATGCCTGAAATATTGCCAGTGTGACATTAAATATTAACTCACTCACTTATTACAAATATACTGCTGATTAACATGTGATGGAATCTTGTCAGTTTTGCCATTATTTCTATAAACTTTCTCTGAAAAGGAACAAGCAAAATGTAATAGTGCCAGCAGTGCTCAAAATTAACTGGGACCACTTCTATTATGCTGGTATACTATTTTCACAATGTGTTTGAGGCACCCTCTAAATCATTAACTGTTAAAAATGGAATTACAGCAAAGACCCATTGACTTTTATATGATTGTATCCTCTGGCAACTCTTCCATGATGTTCATAAGCAAATTTCATTTCAATACTGAAACTTCACTGCTTAGTCCATATCAAGGAGAAAATGAACTTAATAAACAGTTGGACACAAGGTGGCTAGGACACTCAAATATTTTTTATAAAAAAACATGGTCAGTTACAAGCTTCTGTACTGAATCGTTACCTATCAGACAAGAGTCAGATTTCTTGGTCATGTTTTTGAAAGCTAGTCTTGTTATATATTTTGATTCATAAATAATCAATTGTAACTTATCTCTGGAGCATATCTGGCATCAGAGTACTTAAACAGTAACTCTATCATACATACTCCTGCTGGTACAAAATAGGTTTTGGACATTACACATGATACAAAGATACCAGTGTTTAATCACGCTCTTAACAGGGGTGTTGCTTCATACAGATATTGTAAATTCTTCAATGAAGGCTTGTGTTTAGGATAAACTTATATTTTGTACATTGGTACAATTGTACATGCGATAAGCAAGAAACAATGGATGTTCTGAAAACTCATAATAAACAGATTAAAAAATGCAAAAGCAATATATGCCGACCATAGACAACTGACCAGTAGCAATGACACTTCAAGAAAGCATTGATATCCAAAGAAAGAAGCCAGCAATTAACCAAGACCAAGGCATTTACCTTCCCAGTGTGTACTCATTTGTGCTGTTATCATTGGCCACCCCTTACAGTGTTATACAATTAATCTCAATGACTTCTTTACATTGTTATACATGTTCCCAAACTAATTGGCTTTGTGACTGTATAAGTGAGTGAGTTTAGTTTTACGCCACACTCAGCAATATTCCAGCTATATGGCAGCAGTCTGTAAATAATCGAGTCTGGACCAGACAATCCAGGGATTAACAGCATGAACATCAATCTACACAGTTGGGATACGATGACATTTGTCAACCCAGTAAGCGAGCCTGACCACCAGATTCCGTTAGTCACCTCTTACAAGCATGGGTTGCTGAAGATCAATTCAACCCGGACCTTCATGGGTCCGATTATATAAATATTTTTGTACAATAACCACCTTGCACTGGGTTAACATATACATGTATATATATTATTTGTGTGCACTGACATAGCCTTCACCCGATGAAGAATTAGCTCTGATGTGAAAAAGAATAAACAAGGGGTTGCTATCACGTGTTCATTCAACTTGTAAATGCCTTTGAATAACTTTATTTACATAAGCTTGAAGTGCTAACGAGTGAAACATTCTACCAGGAAGACTTAATACGAAATTAATGTTACCTGTATGTACACTCATACAGGCCTGGCAGTCTGTGGACTAGTTGCTACAGAAAATAATGCATGCTCCGTCATCGTAAGTGTTCAGATTTACACAACTTAAAAGTAGTTTGAGTCGCCTATATTGTGTGTAACTGATGTCAATGACATTGCAGTTCATATTTCCATACATGAACAACATTCATCAAAGCGTGTGGTCGGACCTTTCCAAAACCAACAACATGTGCCTTCATCCCCTTCAACTTGTTGTGGGCATGGTATTACCCTGATCCTACATTCCTATGTTCATATTTAATTATTCTAAACAAGTACGACAATTACGAGGGGAGTCGGTACAATTATATCCTGTTAATAATGTTTATTTTATCAGATACATGTCAGGTTTTGTACGCACTTGCCGCTGGCTTCTTCTTAGCAGCCATGTTGGTGTGAAAGAGACCGAGTAGGGGCTCCACGTGCTAGATCACGGTGGACGGGCACTGGGCTTCCGCTTCCTGATCTGTTGCGCATGAATATATTCCGCGCTTCCGTTTCCGGTAAATTCCAAACACATGAACACGAGCACTGTGCAAGTGGAGATACCCTGCCAAGTATGTTTTTAATTAAGTTCTGTATCGAAAAAGATCCTCTGCTCAGATATGCTAACTGAACTGGTGGGTAGAAGTAGTCTCTTGCAGTGCAAATTGACGTTTTCATTGAAAACAATGATTGTGTTTTGGCATAACACGATGTACGAGATAACACGCTAACAACGGTGTAAACTTTTGGTATGAGAATATATTGAGATTTGGTAAAAATGTAACAACACTGATAAAAGAGTACGTTTATTCCATACGACAACATTTGGTATTGTTTTAGTGTTTTATTATTACCTCGAAGTTTCTTAACTCTGTGGAGGGAATGCCTAATAACCCTAACCCAATATTCATCTTTAACTTGACATTTGCATTATAGTCTTCCACTGTTGGGAGATAAATTAACCACTGACCCCTACTGTCCAACCCATAACCCTACCACTATTTGTTGAAAATGATGATGTTTTCTTGGCTTCTGTGCTGATGACGCCCTTAACAACAGCATCTTTCTTAAATTTATATTTGCTCATTTACGATTTGTTAGCAGCTCACCCATGTGCCAGTTGTGGTGTAGCCAGTCATACTTGTGCCTCCTTGTTTCTTACTCTGGTCCACATTACCCAAATGGCCATATTTGAAAAAAACATCCTTTATGCATATTTGTAGGTACAATCTCTGAAACTGTTTTCTGATCACATTGTGTCGGCACATTAATCACCATCATGTACTTGTAGATTAGTAGTAGACAGTGGTTAGAGCGTCCACCCGGAGAACGGAAGGCGCATGTTCAATCCCTGGCCACGTCCTACCAAACGACGAAAAATATGGTACTTGTTGGTCTCTGCCTGGCGCTCAGCATTAATGAGTACAACAAGGTCTGGTCAGCTTAGAGTGTCAGTAGGGTATGCATGCTTAACTGTGTCATGGTATCTCAATGAGCTAGCACTATAAAACCAGCTTACATGTGGGCTAGTACAAGCAGCCACACATACAATCGCATGCACGTCGCCATATAATGAGCGAAATACTGTCAAGTGTGACATTAAACCCCATTTCATCTCACCTCACCTAGTAGTAGACAAATCTGACAAATAGTACTGGGATCTCTTCAAAGTGTTTGTGTGAGGGTGCTACAATTATTTATCACTTTTAGTATGTATGAGTGTCTAAAAATGATTCAACACGGCAACACGGCAGATTAATATTTTGCTAACTGTTGCGCTGTTGTAGATAAATGATATCAATGAAACATCTCAGTCTCATTGCCAATCTTCTTATGAAACTTCCAGTACAAAAGCCTTACAGGCATACCTCTATATCTGCCTGTATGTGGCAGCATATACATTCAACTAGGGTTGGTTGTGAATATAGATCACATAGATCAATAATTGTTAACTAAATAGCAGCTATTGGTAAATATAGGAGCAGTAACTTTGACTACTTTGAGTAAAACATACTCCAAACTAAATATTTCACATCAGTGGTGAGTGGTCAGATATTTTTACATAGGTTGTAAATAAAAACAAGTTTTCTGAACATATTTTGGAAGTGGCCTGTGAATAAAGACATAACTTTGTGTATTGTGTGTGTGATTTAAAACTTTGTTTCATTGCAATAGTTCATGCAAGATAGTTTGGAGGACAAAATTTTCATAACAATAACTGCTAATAATTCTTCATATCAACAGTATTTCTGATAATCAATCCTTTTAGCCAGATCTAGAAGACCTGGTTGTGTTGAGCTAACAATCCAGTCACAGAAAACTTGTCCTGATTTTAGGTCTGTTCAATCCCAGAGGTGTTCAGCTGAAAGTGTTGAATTACCAGTTGTCTCGAACTCGCTTTATAGTTCAAAAAATCAGATTTACCGGTACTGTAACACCCCCTACCTCCACCCCCCACCCCCGATGGCCAGGTTTACAAAACACAGTTTTTGTACAAGTTAGTATTGTATAATCTTTATAAAATATTATATGATATACCGTATATTACCGAAGATATGCCAAATTTTTAGGACCAAAAGTAGCAGTCTGTAGGGGGTCGACTTATCTATGGGTTACTCTTTTGTCAAACTTTTTTCAGGGGTAAGAAAATGACATTGTATCGCTTCGCATGAACAAACAAAAAAAGAAGATGACTTTCTCAGTAAGGACGTCAAATTTGCAATTAAACGTCACTAGACAAGATTATTTATCTGTTCAGTTCTAATTTGTTTTTGCTGTCTTATATGCAGGGATTAAGATTACCGTGTGTAATTGTCTCGTATACAGCGCCGGTATGTTCATATTATATAGATGTTGTTATCCCCCGCAACGCGTTTTGCGGGGGGTATTAATATGGACTCCGTCCTTCCGTGCATATTTGTCTTTTCCGAAGCAGAACTCTAAAACCGTTCTATATTTCTTCACCAAACTTGGCACATAGATAGATCTGGTGGTGTACTGGTGCCTTTTGGTAGTTTTGGAATTCTGAATAAAATATTTTTGGCATTTCCATGGCAACAAGTTTGACTTAGCCTGAAATTGGTGGTTGTGCTCTTTTCCGGAGCTGAACTCTAAAACCGTTCACTATTTCTTCACCAAACTTGGCACATAGATTGGTCTTGTGGTGCACTGGTGCCTTTTGGTAGTTTTGGATTTCTGAATAAAATATTTTTGGCATTTCCATGGCAACAAGTTTGACATAGACTGAAATTGGTGACAGTGCTCCTTTCTGGAGCAGAACTTTAAAAACCTTTCAATACTCTCCTTCCACTTTTCTATATACACACCTAAATATTTGACATAATCATAACTCGTAGACATAATCATGAAGAGTATTTTGCCATTGCGGGGATATTGATGACTTTGTCTTCTTGTTTTTTCTACATGGGTGAGCTAAAAGTTGTCTAATAGCAGTTGTAACTCAGGTGCATCAGATGAGTTGAACACGAGACATATTGAACCATTTGTCAGGTCCCCAGGAGAGTGAAGTTTGATTATCATGATTCTATTTTTGTCAGATGTGCTCTCTGTGTCTAGTTATGCCTGTCTGTCAGCGCATTAACATAGGCATAAACATGATAAAGGAATGCACCTCATTAGGTTTTTTCTATATAGCAGTAATACTGCAAACTGTGTGTAGTTATTTTAATGAAATCATTCTGTAATGACATGATGATGATGATGATGATGATGAAATATCAATATGGTAAATTCCTGTACAGTGGTTTAGTTCCTCCATGCTACACTATACTAGTAGTATTACTAGACAACAACAACTAGCTCTTTGCTCTTTTCATTTCTAATCTTTGTTAAAAGTTCCTATTTTCATCATGTTCATAGGACTGGAAATTGACTTTCTCAAGAGCAACATCATGTAACAGCTAGCCCAGAGAAATTCAAAACTCAGTGTTGTAGCAACATCATGTATTGCTAGCCCAGAGAAATTCAAAACTCAGTGTGTAGCAACATCATGTATTGCTAGCCCAGAGAAATTCAAAACTCAGTGTTGTAGCAACATCATGTATTGCTAGCCCAGAGAAATTCAAAACTCAGTGTTGTAGCAACATCATGTATTGCTAGCCCAGAGAAATTCAAAACATCATCAGTGTGTTGTAGCAACATCATGTATTGCTAGCCCAGAGAAATTCAAAACTCAGTGTTGTAGCAACATCATGTATTGCTAGCCCAGAGAAATTCAAAACTCAGTGTTGTAGCAACATCATGTATTGCTAGCCCAGAGAAATTCAAAACTCAGTGTTGTAGCAACATCATGTATTGCTAGCCCAGAGAAATTCAAAACTCAGTGTTGTAGCAACATCATGTATTGCTAGCCCAGAGTGTTGTAGCAACATCATGTATTGCAGCCCAAGACTCAGTGTTGTAGCAACATCATGTATTGCTAGCCCAGAGAAATTCAAAACTCAGTGTTGTAGCAACATCATGTATTGCTAGCCCAGAGAAATTCAAAACTCAGTGTTGTAGCAACATCATGTATTGCTAGCCCAGAGAAATTCAAATCAAAATCTCAGTGTTGTAGCAACATCATGTATTGCTAGCCCAGAGAAATTCAAAACTCAGTGTTGTAGCAACATCATGTATTGCTAGCCCAGAGAAATTCAAAACTCAGTGTTGTAGCAACATCATGTATTGCTAGCCCAGAGAAATTCAAAACTCAGTGTTGTAGCAACATCATGTATTGCTAGCCATCAGAGAAATTCAAAACTCAGTGTTGTAGCAACATCATGTATTGCTAGCCCAGAGAAATTCAAAACTCAGTGTTGTAGCAACATCATGTATTGCTAGCCCAGAGAAATTCAAATCATCAGTGTTGTAGCAACATCATGTATTGCTAGCCCAGAGAAATTCAAAACTCAGTGTTGTAGCAACATCATGTATTGCTAGCCCAGAGAAATTCAAAACTCAGTGTTGTAGCAACATCATGTATTGCTAGCCCAGAGAAATTCAAAACTCAGTGTTGTAGCAACATCATGTATTGCTAGCCCAGAGAAATTCAAAACTCAGTGTTGTAGCAACATCATGTATTGCTAGCCCAGAGAAATTCAAAACTCAGTGTTGTAGCAACATCATGTATTGCTAGCCCAGAGAAATTCAAAACTCAGTGTTGTAGCAACATCATGTATTGCTAGCCCAGAGAAATTCAAAACTCAGTGTTGTAGCAACATCATGTATTGCTAGCCCAGAGAAATTCAAAACTCAGTGTTGTAGCAACATCATGTATTGCTAGCCCAGAGAAATTCAAAACTCAGTGTTGTAGCAACATCATGTATTGCTAGCCCAGAGAAATTCAAAACTCAGTGTTGTAGCAACATCATGTATTGCTAGCCCAGAGAAATTCAAAACTCAGTGTTGTAGCAACATCATGTATTGCTAGCCCAGAGAAATTCAAAACTCAGTGTTGTAGCAACATCATGTATTGCTAGCCCAGAGAAATTCAAAACTCAGTGTTGTAGCAACATCATGTATTGCTAGCCCAGAGAAATTCAAAACTCAGTGTTGTAGCAACATCATGTAT